GAGTGGTGCAGTGGCTGCGGCGAGGATGAGGCCGGCGGCTGCCGACACCCGTCCCCTGCCTGGATCTGGCCAGCTGGGCCACCTTCCCTTCCCACCGGAAGGTCCGTTTTGGGGTTGAAGGAGGTGCCTTCTACCTCTCACTAGCCGGTGGCGTCCATTAGTCGCCGTGGTTGTTGCGGTGGGGTCTTGGTTGCCGGGGCGGCGGCCTCGATGGTGGTGGTCGCGCTGCTTGTGGGCAGGGTGCGCGGCTCAGGTGTGGGCTGAGAAAAGCTATAGCCGTTTGTGCGGCGTGGCGGCCGGTGCTTCGGCGATCGGTGATGTTTCGAAGGTGGAGGGTGCCTGCCAGGAGTGACCCCCTGCTTGGCTTCGGTTGGGCCGACTGTCGGTGTCAAAACCGGCGGATCTCGGGTAGGGGGTCCCGATCTGTACGTCTTAGGCTGATGGTAACAGGAAACAAGGGACACAATGTTTACCCAGGTTCGGGCCCTCTCGATGGAGGTAAAACCCTACTTCCTGCTTGATTAATATTGAAGATATGAGTACTACAAGAGTAGATCTACCACGAGATCGTAGAGGCCAAACCCTAGAAGCTAGCCTATGATGGTATGATTGTAATTGTGATCGGCCTTCTAAGGACCATCCTCTCCGGTTTATATAGACACCGGAGAGGGCTAGGGTTTATATGGAGTCGGTTACAAGGAAGGAAACACAATATCCGGATCGCCAAGCTTGCCTTCCATGCAAAGGAGAGTCCCATCCGGACACGGGACGGAGTCTTGAGTCTTGTATCTTCACGCTTCAATAGTCCAGACGATGTATACAGTCCGGCTGTCCGGATACCCCCTAATCCAGGACTCCCTCAGTAGCCCCTGAACCAGGACTCAATGACGATGAGTCCAGCGCGCAGTCTTGTCTTCGGCATTGCAAGGCGGGTTCCTTCACCGAATACTCCAAAGTAATTATCGAACACGTAGACCATGTCCGGATCTGCGAGATGATCCTCACATACTATCGTAGGGAAGACAGCAAAAATCTAATCTGCTGGCAATCTTCGTGCGTCGTGTCCCTGCATCGTGGCCCGGCCCAACACGAACCGGTGTTTCTTGGCCCACCTCGACTCGCGTTGTGAGGCGGTTTTATTGGCACACCTTGCCAGAGCAGAGATCGTGCTCCTCTTATTATGGGATCTTCCATCAATATGGGCGTGTTCAACCCCACGGCGACCGTTGATATGACTCCGTGAGCTTTTACATAAGTCTCGCGCGGTCACGCTGAGGACTCTTGATATTCACCCCCTTTATAAAGGGGCCGAGGCCTATACCTCTTCTCTACCACCCTTGCGCCCTTTCGCATCTCGAGTTCTAACACCCGAAACCGAAGCTCAAACAACCCAGATCCTCCAATATGTCCGGACCCAATTCTCAGGGCCGGTGGGTGGCCTCCTTGATCCAGGAGGAGGACATTGCGAGGCTTAGGGAGGTCGAATATCTGACCGCCAACATCCAGCACAGGCTTCCCGCTCCAGGGCAGGTCATCCCTACGCCGGAGCCCAATGAGAGCGTCGTGTTTGTTCCTCACTTCCTCTGCGGCTTGGGCCTCACCCTCGATCCCTTTGTGAGGGGGCTCATGTTTTATTACGGGTTAGATTTTCATGATCTAGCCCCGGACACTATCCTCCACATCTCGTCGTTCATCATTGTGTGCGAGGCTTTTCTCCATGTCGCTCCACACTTCGGCTTATGGCTCAAGACCTTCAATGTGAAGCCGAAGATGATCGAGGGGCAACATGCGGAGTGCGGAGGTGCCATAATAAGCAGGAACGCCGATGCCCCATGGCCGGAGGGTTCTTTCCCAGAAGTATCTGATGTATCGCAGCGGAGGTGGTTTTATGTCACGGCTCCTAGAGGCACAAAGTGGGTGGCCGCCCCCGAGTTCCGCTCGGGCCCTCCGTCGCAATTGGCATCATGGACCGACGCAGGACGGAGTTGGGGGCCCGCTGGTGATGTACCAATACTGCAGAGCCGTATCTGGGAGCTTCTTGAGAAGGACATTAACCTCGTCAGCATAATTCAAGTAATGCTAATCCGATGGATGTTACCGTCCGAACGCCGGCCTCTCCGGATGTGGGAATTCAATCCGGAGGGTCCGCAGACTATTAAGCACTTCTTTGGCCCGACGCTCGAAGGGATGTGTAAATTATTCTTCGGACCACAAATAAAGTGTCCGGACATCACCGAGGATGCGGGCCTAAGCTGCAACCACCTAGATACCCAAGTAAGTAATTCTAAAGCCGGACACTTCGCTTTTATTTATCATAGTCACCATTCTGAAAACCCTCCATGGCCAGGAATGGCTCAGGAAGGCGGAGAGAATCAGGTGTCCGGCGCCACTTCCCAAAGGCTCGCCTAGTCCTACCATAGCCAAGATGCTTGGCCGGGTGCTTAGCAAGATGCCCTCGGGGAAAGGCGAAGAAAAGGATAGTGAAGCCGAACTTCACACCCTACGCATCCGAACCGGGGGAATTACTTCCTCCCCAAAGGAGGATAGTCGGGGAGGGGAGTCCAAG